CAGCAGCAGCAGCAGCAGCAGCAGCAGCAGGGATGTGTGGGCCTTTTGGACTACTGGATTAGTTTAGATGCTGCTTTTATGCAGAAAGAGCTGCAGCAGCAAACTGCAGCAGCAGCAGCAATTAAGCCCGTGGAAGCAGCACCGCACTTAAGGTGCTGCTTTTATTATTTTACTTATTTGTACTTATCTATTTATTATTTATTTGTCATTTATTTATTTATTTATTTATTCATTATTTGTCTATTTATTTATTTATAATTGAAATGCTGTGGGTGGCTTTTGTTTTTCTCCTTTTTTGAAAAAATGGTTTTTATATTTAAATTTTATTTTTATTTTATTTATATTTTCAATTTTATTTTGTTTCATTTATCTCTTCATTTCGTTTTTTTTCCTCTTTAATTCCTTTTAATTCTTTTTAATTCTTTTTTACATTTTCTAATTTTTTTAAATTCTTTTTTAGTTCCTTTTTATTTGTTTTTAATTCTTTCAAGTTGTTTTAAATTCTTCTTATTTATTTCTTATTTCTCTTTTAATACTTTTAAACTCTTTTAAATTCCTTTCAATTCCTTTCAATTTTTTTATAATTATTTCAAATTCTTTTTATTCTTTTTAGTTTATTTTAATTCTTTTCAATCCATTTTAATTCTTTTTTGATTATTTTAAATTCTTTTTTATTCCCTTTTATTCTTTTTAACATTTTTGAACTCATTTTAATCCATTTCAATGCCTTTTTAGTTCGTTTTTTATTATTTTTAACTCATTGTAACTTGTTTTAACTCATTTTAATTCATTTTTACTCATTTTTAATTCATTTTAATTCATTTTAATTCATTTTAATTCATTTTAATTCACTTTAATTCATTTTGAATTTCTTTTTTATTATTTTTTTGTTTTTCAGCGTTCTGGGTCAAGTTTTGGACTTTCTTCTTTTCGCAGCTTTTCAGCGCATGTCCGCTTTGGGTGTACAGACAGCTGCGGACCACTACTGCGGTAATTCAATTTAATTAATTCAATTTAATTTGATTTAATTCAATTTAATTTAATTAATTTAATTTAATTTAATTTAATTTAATTCAATCAGTTTAGTTCAATCAATTTAATTATTTAAATCTAGTTTAATTTAATTTAATTAGTTGATTCAGTTTGATTGTTCACTTGTCCTTTTTTTACTTATTCGTTTTTCGTCTTTTTGTCTTTTTTTCTTCTCTTAGTTTGGCTTATTTATTTATTTATTCATTATTTATTTATTATTTATTTATTTATTATTTATATATTTCTAATTTATTTATTTCTTTTTATTTATTATTATTTATTTATTTATTTTTTATTTATGTATGTTTTATGTCTTTGGTCTTTTGCATTTGCTGCTAAGACTCGCGAGTCTCTTTTATTCACTTTTTAATTTTTAATTTTTAATTTGATTCAAAATTCGAATTATTTCAATCAATTCGAGCTGCTGCTGCTGCTGCTGTTGCTGCTGCTGCTGCTGTTGCTGCTGTTGCTGCTGCTGCTATTGCTGCTGCTACTGCTGCCAACTCCTGCTGCTCCTCTTCTACCGCTGCTGCTGCTGCTGCTGCTGCTGCTGCAATTGTTTTGCTGCTCAGAAGGAGTAATAGCTCCGGCTTTGTGTCTTTTTGCAAAAGAGACAAAAAGTCAATTTGGAGTTCTTTTGTCTCCTTTCGAGTGTCTAGACACCTGCGCCTTGCTGCTGGAGTCTCTTTGCTGCACCCAAACCCTAATGCAGCGGCTCCACTTCGCGCAGAGACTCCCCACAGTAAACCCTAAACCCTAAACCCTAAACCCTAGGGGTAAACCCTAGGCTTAGAGCTGCAAAGATTGGACCCTAGGCCGCAGGGCCTAGGGCTCAGGGGTCACGGGCTAGGGTTTAGGGTTTAGGGTTTGGGGTTTAGGGTTTTGGGTGTAGGGTGTAGGGTTTTGGGTTTGGGGTTTAGGCTTTGGGTTTTAGGGTTTAGGGTTTAGGGTTTAGGGTTTGTGGTCTCAGCTGTATAGACAGCTGGTGGACTTGGAGCGCCTGATGATGCAGCATTTGTGCGAAGAAGTGAAGGAGAAATTAGAGGTAGGGTCTAGGGTTTAGGGTTTAGGGTTTAGGGTTTAGGGTTTAGCTGTTCTCGTTGCTACATTTCAGATTTGTTTCTTTTCGCTGCAATCTCAGCATGAAGTAATTAATTAAATAATTCATTTGCATTTAATTCTTTTAATTTATGTATTTTTATTTATTTATTTATTTATTTACTTATTTATTTTTATTTCCTTTTTGTGCTGCAGTGCACCCCTCAGGAGTCTTTCCCCGAATTTCTTTCTTCTTTTGCTCGTCAGCAAAAAATAAAAATAAATAAATTTAATTAATTAATTAATTAAACTGGTTAATTAATTAATTAATTAATTAATTAGTTAATTAATTTGATTAGTTAAATAATGCTAAAGAATAGATAAATGAGTTGAATGCGTTTTTCAGTTGTATCTCTTTTTCCCTTTTATTTCTTTTTCTTTTTCTAAATTTGTTTTATTTTCTTTTTTTAATCTTTTTAAAATTCCTTTTAACCTTTTTTAATTCTTTTTAATCTTTTTTAATTCTTTTGAATCTCTTTTGTCTCCTTTAATATTCTTTTGCTTCTTTTAAAGTTGTCTTTTTGCGTTGGTTTGCTGCTATTGCTGCTGCAGCAGCAGCAGCAGCATTTCGGCGGCCCCGTGCTGCTGCGCTGCAGCAGCAGGTGTACGTACACCTGGAGCAGCAGCTGCGGCAGCAGCTAAAATCTTTTGCTGCTTCTTCTTCGAAGCAAAAGAGCAGCAATGTGATTCTCCAAAACATTATCTGCCAAAGGCAAGCAGCAGCAGCAGCAGCAGCAGCGCCAGCAGCAGCAGCGGCAACAGCAGCGGCAGTGCAACACAAGCAGCAGCAGCAACGGCAGCAGCGGCAGCAGCAGCAGCGGCAACAGCAGCGGCAGTGCAACGCAAGCAGCAGCAGCAGCACCGTCAGATGAAACAGCAGCACAGCCAATGCAGCAGCAGCAGCTGCAGCAGTGTGGGCTTGTTGTGCTGCTGCTGTCTCCTTTTGTGCCGCAGCAAGGAGACAGTGCAGCAGCTGAAGGCTGCGTTTCAGTTGCAGACACTTAAAGATGAAATGCCCCTCACATTCGTGAGTTGCTGCTGCTGCTGCTGATCCTACTGCTGCTGCTGCTGCTGATACTGCTGCTGCTGCCTCTGCTGCAGCTAGAGCTACCGCTGCTGCGGCTGCGGGTCGCTGTGGCTGCTGCGGCGTCTTTTCTCTAGCTCTCTGCTGCTGCTGCTCTTGCTGCTGCTGCATTTCAGTCTTTGCTGCAGCTCTTTGCTGAATCGGGGGAGAAGCTGAAGCAGCACCGCTTGCTGCTGCAGCAGGTGCAGCAGCAGCTGCAACACCACATGCAGCAGCAAGGCAATGCTGCTGCTGCTGCTGCTGCAGCATTCAGCAACACGCTGAGGTAATGCTCATCTCTGGCTCATAGAAAGCAGCAGCAGGAGCTGCAGCAGCAGCAGCACAGTGAGCAGCAGCATCAGCATCAGCAGCCGGAGCAGCAGCAGCAGCAGCAGCAGCTGCGTATTGTGTGCATGCCTGCCTCAGGTCGGTGCAGCAAGCAGCAGCTGTCTGGAAGCCACGCGCCAGCCTAGAGCAGCAGCAGCAGCAGCAGCAGCAGCAGCTAGAGGACCGGGGCATATCAGAGGCAGTCAAGAAATTCTGCAATGTGATGCAGGTGAGAGATCAATAAGGGTTTAGGGTTTAGGGTTTAGGGTTTACTGCCTCTGCTTCAGAAGTATTTTTGCTGCTGCTGCTGCTGCTGCTGCAGCTTCCACTCCTATCTCCCGCTGACGCTTTGCTGCTCGTCAATTTGCTGCTGGACCCTTCAGTGCAGCAGCAGCAGCAGCAGCACAAGCAGCATCACAAGCAGCGGAATCGCTGAGCTGCTACAGCCAAAGCTCGTACTAGAGGCGTTTGCTGCTGCTGCTGCTGCTGTTGCGGCTGCACATTTGTGGCTGCTGGATTGATGCCTTCTTGGCGGCAAGCAGCAGCAGCAGCAACAGCAACAGCAGCAACAGCAGCAGCAGCAACAGGAGCAAGACTGCAATTTATAGAATGCTTTTGTTACTTCTGCTGCTGCTGGCGCTACTGCAGCAGACACGAGGTCTCCGCTGCAGCAGCAGCCATGCTGCTGCTGCAGCTGCAAAGCTGCTGCTGCAGCTGTAAAGCTGCTGCTGCAGCTGCAAAGCTGCAGCTGCACAGCTGCTGGGCAACTGCTGCTGCAGCGGCGTGACTGCTGCTGCACAGCTGCTGCTGTGCAGCTGCAGCAGCAACAGCAGCAGCAGCAGCAGCAGCAGCAGCTGCTGCTGCTGCTGCTGCTGATGTCAGGAGAAAAGCAGATGCAAGAGACAAGTAGGGTTTAAATGCACAAATGGCGAAGTCTTTGTTTAAATTGATTTTATTTATTTTCAATTATTTATTTAATTTATTATTTCTAATCAATTTATTTTCAATTAATTTAATTTGTTTATTTCTATCTATTTTTAATAAATCCAAGAGTACAATAATTAATTGTTTAGAAGTGAAGTTTGCAATTCAAATTAAATCTTTTAATGAATTAAAATTTCAATGGAATTAAAATTAAATCTTTTAATGCAATTCAATCTTTTAATGGAATTAAAATTAAAATCCTTTTTTAAAATTGAATCTTTAAATGGAATTAAATCCTATAATGGAATATAATTAAAAAAATAAAAAAAAATCTTTTAATGGAATTAAATCTTCAAATGGAATTAAATCTAACAAAGAACTTTAAAAAGTCTTTTAATGCAATTAAAAAGATATTAGAATAAATAAATCAAAATTCCAAACTTTCCGAACTTCGGAATTTGCGAAATCCAGAAAAGTTCTTTTTCCTTGAGGGACGCATGCAAGCGCTTTGGGGCCCCCCAAGGGGCCCCCAAAGGAGCCCCTAAAGGGGCCCCCCAAGCGGCCTCTAAAGGGGCCCCCCAAGGGGCCCCCCAAGGGGCCCCTAAAGGGGCCCCTGAAGGGCCCCTAAAGGGGCCCCTGAAGGGGCCCCCCAGGAGGTCCCCCAAGGGCCGCCCAGGGGGCCCCCCAAGGTGCCCCTTTAGGGGCCCCCAAAGGGTTCCCCCAAGGGGCCCCCAAAGGGGCCTCCAAAGGGGCCCCCAAAGGGGGCCCCAAAGGGGCCCCCAAAGAGGCCCCAACGAGGCCCCCAAAGGGGCTCCTAAAGGCCCGATTTATTTCATTTAGAGTTGCGGAAAATGTGTCGGAAGAAATGCAATTTTGGGGGAAAGTGTGTGAAGTGTTGGTGGGAGCTTGGGCGCATGCAAGGGGGGGGCTTTGGGGAGTTAAGTGGCGGAATTGAATTAAAAAACTGAAAAGTTGAATTAAAAAAAGACCACTGGAGGACCAGTGGTCCGTGAAGAGCTGTTTTGAGCGGTGAGAAGGCTCTTTGGGGTTTAATTTGGAGAGAGAAATTCAAGTTGTGCAGGTTGAGCGAGGGGTGCGCGTGGGCGACGAAAGAGAGCCAAATGGAGAGAAAACGGATTTAAAAAGGCACTAAATAAGCGGGAAATGTTGAAAATAATTCAAAAGGAATAACTGCTGCAGCAGGAGCGAAGAAAAACGAGAAAAAACGGGGGAGTCCGTTCGAACGGGGTGTACGGACAGCTGGGAACAGGGGGGAGCGCGCGCGCGCGCCGCGCGGGACCTCTGGAGGGTTAATTAGTTTTATTTAATTTCCAATTTAGAAAATAAATAAAGGCAAAAACGAATTAATTATTTATTGAGTTAAAAAGGAGGCGCTCGGGGGCTGCTGCAGCTGCGGCGGCGGGCCGGCCGCGGCAGCAGAAGAGCCGCGTCGATTGCAGATCTCGAAAAGGCAAAAGGGGAGGAAAACTGGCGCGAAAATTGGAGAAATAAAAGTAAAAAAATAAATAAAACGAATTAAAGGATTTAGGGGGCTTTATTTTTGTCTTTTTGCACTCCGTTTTGCCGTTTGAGGGGAGCAGGCGCAGCAGCCCCACGCCAGCTGGGGCCCCGGATCTTCTTCGATTTTCGCCGCCAAAACTCCTTTAAAAACACTTTTTGCGCTCGTTTCCTTTTCCATTTCAAAAAATAAATACCATTTGAGCTTCTTGCGGCTCTTTTCCGCGTTCGTTTGCCGCTTTTGCTTCCCGCTGCTGCTGCTGCTGCTGCTGCAGCGCCTCGTCGATGCTCCAGGTGTACATACACCTGAAATACGCAGCAGCTTCCTTCCTTAGCACTTCTCCCGCAACGCGTTTTTGCTGCAGCAGCTGAAGAACCTTTTTCTGCTTTTGTTGCTGCCAGACAGCAGCAGCAGCAGCAGCAGCAGCAGCAGCAGCAGAAGGCCCTCAAATCAAATTTTAAAGTTTGCAACAAGTGTCCCTTTTTGTCTTTATTTTTTCGTCTTTTTGCTTCTCTCCCTCTTTTAATTCTTTTTAAATCTCATTTATCATTTATTTATTTATTCATTTATTCATTTAATTAATTAATTATTTATTTATTTACTTATTTATTTATTTTTTATTTGTTGACGTGTTCTATCATGGATCTGCCTTCTTCAGTCGACCCGCAGCAGCCCAAACAAGTAAGCCTAGCAGCAGCGGCAGCAGCAACAGCAGCAGCAGCAGCAGCAGCAGCAGATCTACTTATAAGAGCAACGTCTGCAGCACCCTGACCAAAAGCAGCAGCAGCAGCAACAGCAGCAGCCGCTGCTGCTGCTGCTGTTTGCGGCTTCCTCTAACTTGGAGTTGCTGCTGTTTTTGCTGCTGCTTCTGCTGCTGCTGCTCTTACTGCTGCTGCTGCTGCTGCTTTTGCTGCTGCTGCACTGAAGCGCTGCTCTTTTTTTCTCCTTTTTTCTCCCCCATTCCCTCAATTAATATTATTTATTTATTTATATTTATGTGTTTATTCATTTATTTTTATTTATTTATTTATTTATTTTTTATTTTTATTTTTAGGAGACACCCTCTGTGGGCTGCGCGGAGGAGGAGAAGAGTTTGGGGAGTGAGAAGAAAAAAGAAATAAATAAAGCAAATAAGACAAATAAAACAAATAAAATAAATGGTTTAAATGATTTAAAAGATTTAAATGAATTAAACGAATTAAATGAATTAAATGAAATCAAAAAAGAAAACGCAGAAAACAAAACAAACAAACCCCGGCGCCGCCACCGCAGGAACCCCAAGCAAGCTGCTGCTGCTGCTGCTGCTGCTGCACCTGCAGCAGCAGCAGCAGCAGAAGCTGCTTCGACAGCAACAGACGACAGAGACAGCACTTGCTGCTCCAGCACTTCCAACAAGCAGCAGCAAATTAAAACGGAGACAAAAAGCAGCCAGAAAAGAATGGAACAAGCAGTCTCAGACCTTCTCAAAGTCCGTCCTAGGGTTTAGGGTTTGGGTTTTAGGGTTTAGGGATTGGGGTTTAGGGTTTAGGGTTTGGGGTTTAGGGTTTGGGGAGCAGCAGGAGAAAGCGAAAGCCCGCGGGCTCCAGGGGCCCCAATAAGAACGCCAGCGCTCCTGCCTGCGGCCTAGGGTTTGGGGTTTAGGGTTTAGGGTTTAGGGTTTAGGGCTTAGGGTTTAGGGTTTGGGCGCAGGCACTTCCCGCGGGGGTTTTGTCGGAAGAAGTTCTTTTGAATACTCCCCGAAGAGCGGCGGAGGCATTTCTGTACTTTACAAAAGGCTATGAGTTGAGTTTGGAAGGTAAATATTAAAAAATAGATAAAAGTAAATAAAACAAATAAATGTAAATAAATATAAATAAATAAATATAAATAAATTAATTAATTAGAAGTGGAAGAAGGAATTTAAATGGGTTGGGTGGGGGGTTGGCGGAGAAGAAAAGGGTTTAAGGGGACTCAGTAGTTTCAAATTCCAGAAAGTTGATAAACGAAACCCTAAACCCTATTCCCTAAACCCTAAACCCTTGATTTCAAATTAAGTTGAAGTACTCTAGCCCTTATGTACTTCCATTTTAAAGTTAAAAAGTTTAATTATTATTTTTTATTCTGTATATGTGAATTGAATAAATTGAATTAAATAAATTAAATGAATTAAATAAATTAAATTAAAAATGAATTATTAAATTTTGAATTTGTGTACTCGGGGTTGCGCATTGGGGTGTACGTACAGCTGCGTGTTTGCGTACACGGAAGAAACAGAAGACGAAATTGGAATTAAATGGAATTGGCAGAATAAAACAAAAGAAATATATAAATGAAATGAATTAAATCAAATAAAAAACAAATTAAATCGAACAATAAGCCAAATTGAGTTAAATTAATAAACTCAACTTTCTCGAGCTCGGGGTGTGCATTGGGGTGTATGTGCAGCTCCGAATAGAAAGCAGACACAAATGTGGTTAAATTGAACGAAGCAAGTTGAAAAAATAGAATGAAAAGAAATTAAATGAAATTAATTGGAATTAATTGAACAAATGAAATGAAATGGTGGGGGGAAATAGAATTAAATGCGACTTCCAACTCCCGAGCGCGGCCTGTGCGTTGGGGTGTATGTACAGCTGCTGTCGGCAGCGGCGTCTTTGCGTACACCGAAGAAACCGGAGACACAATTGTAATTAAAGATTTATTTGTCCATTCTGTTTGCGAACACCATTTGCTGCCTTTCCACGGCACTTGCTCCATTGCGTGCGCCCCTGCTGCTGCTGCTGCTGCTAGAACGGCGCTTCTGCTGCCGCTGCTGCTGCTGTTGCTGCTGCTAGAGCGGCGCTGCTGCTGCTGCTGCTGTTGAAACAGCTGTTCAGCTGCTGCGGTTGCTGCTTTTGCTGCCGTTGAAACGGCCCTGCTGCTGCTGCTGCTGCAGTCGCACTGCTGCTGCTGCTGCTGCTGCTGCAGGTACCTGCCTAGACACCACATTTTGGGTCTATCAAAGTTTGCGAAAA